AAACAGAACATCACTAAAAGTATTCGTCACTAAAGGCAACCCTAACTATTCAGGAATTAAGGTTTCTACAGGATACAAAAATTATATATTTAATTTTGGCTTCTGAGCCCTCAAAAACATTTGTATAATACGTATTGCAGTTTTAATGGTTTTTCCTACTTTTACAAAGTTATAAGCACAGTATATTGAACCCAGAAATGTCTTTACCTCCAGTCTTTAATTAAAACCTAGCAGTGCCACATGTGGTGGGTCACAGCTGTGGTCACACCTGCACTCTCAGCTACTAAGGAGGCTGAGGCGGGAGGATCACTTGAGCTCAGGAGTTCAAAGTTACAGTGAGCTATCACCATGCTGGTGCATCCCAGCCTGAGCAACACAGTCAAATGGCAAAATATCCTGTTTCTTAAACTAAATATTTTTTAAAAGTCAAAAATTTAAAACCTAGCAGAGAAAAATAAAATCATTTATAATGATATAGTCTAAAAATTACATAATTGTATATTTATCCAAACCCATCCTTGTCCTTATATCTGTTATCTAGGATTAGCAAATTAGAATAAAAGAAGTGATATCTTTCAATAAAAATTATATATTCTACCTACTACTTTGAGGTTTATTGTTAAATATATCCTGTATTGAAATGATTAGAAAGCAAGTAAGTGAACAAAGTTGTATTAGCATAATGTTTTAAACGTTTATAGAGTCTAATTACAGATGTAACATATCAGTCATAAGATAAATACCTTCACGGAGGTCCCAATATTTTTCTGATAATTGACATGTACATGTAATATAGTACTTAAAAAATGGCACATAGTGCTTAAATGAGATAATTTGTAGTTTTCAGTCAAATTAAAGATGTTATAAATAAATTTTACTTAATATACTACCTTACAAAATAAAAATATTAAGTCAATTTTATATTTCAAATGTAAACCTTAAATCATCTAATAGAGGAAAAATTTTGGAAGATAGATACATTCTTCAAATAAATAACCATTACTATGTATGGAGCACCTACCATTCTTATAACAAGCACTGTACTAGCTAACTTTTGTTTACTTTTTCTAGTCTTCTGAACAATTGACCTAGTTGAGGAAAGAAACTCAGAGAAGATAAGTTTCCCAAAGTCAGTGGTTTGCAAATTGCTAAACTGGGATTAGCTTGCTCTTCCCCCTATATCCTGCTGCCAAGAATTAGGCTTCCCATGAAAAACTAACAGCTCATGAACTTTTGAATTTTGTTTAAATGATATTTCTTATAAAAAAGTAATTTGCCAAAACTTTGTATAGCCCTATGTCCTTATAAAAGCAATGAGAGTCAGTAGATAGATGAATTTGTAATTCCTTGTAACTGACGTACTTTAAAAATATAATGATGATTCTCATAGACAAATGCCACATATAAAATAAAAAGGGATAAAAAATAAAATGTTCTTTTTAATGCTAAACTTTGGTTTCTGTTTTCATACTATAATCTACAGGTATCTAAAAAGCCGTATCGTAAATTTTAGAAATGGCAGCAGTCTACTAAAATAGAATTTAAGTATCAATGAGAAAACAAAGTTTACTCTGAAAAGAAAAATAAAAGATACCCATAATAAACTATGAAAAAATATGTCAATATTACTGATTATAAACCAAGTTAAAACAAGATGTCATTTTCACCTATCAGGTGAACAATGACTGCAGAATTCTATAAAGGCCAGTGTTGTTCATCTCTATTAGTGAGTTCATTAATTGGAACAAAAGTTTTTGAAAGATAATTTTGCAATATCTATCTAAATTAAAATGTATGTATCCTTCACATCAGCAATTCCATTTAATCCTGGCAAAAGTATGCCATGGTATATATGTACATGGTATTAACTATAAAATTTTTGGCAGGGAAAAAAATTTCCATAAAATAAATATTCACCAACAAGAAATTTCCTTTAAAATTGTCATATAGTGGTATCACAGCATGATGTGGTCAGTACAAAAATGTACTGATATGGACAGACACCCATAATATATTGCTACATAGAAAAAGCAAGTTACCAAAAATTATGGCACCAGAGCCCAATTTGTTATTTGCATATTTATATGCACACATTTGCTTCCATATTATTAGCAAATTCCCGGAATTATATACAAAAAACTGAAACCAGGAGTTGCCACTCGTAGAAGGAAGAGAGAAGGAAACATTTAGTTTTCCACTTTGTATTGTTTCATAAAGAGCAGCAATGACTTTATAAGAATAAAAAAAAAAATTACAACTCAAAATGGATTAAAAACTTAAATGTTAAGACCCAAAACTATAAAACTACTAGAAGAAAATACTGAGAAAACACTTTAGGACATTGGTTAAGGCAAAGATTTTATGGGTAAAACTATAAAAGTACAGGTGACAAAAACAAAAATAGTCAAATGGGACTATAACAAACTGAAAAGCTTCCACATGGCAAAGGAAAAACAATGAACAGAATAAAGCAAAAAACTGTAGAATGGGAGAAAATATTTGTAAACTATGCATCTGACAATTGACTAATATATAAAATATACAAAGAACCCAAATAATTCAACAGCAAAAAACAACCTAATCAAAAAATTGCTGAAGGATCTGGGTAGACATGTCTCAAAACATACAAGTGAACAAGAGGTCTGTGAAAAAAAATACTCATCTTTACTAATCACCAGGGAACACAAATCAAAACCACAATAAGATATCCTTCACCCCAGTTACAATTGCTATTATCAAAAGACAAAAAATAGCAAGCCCTGGCAAGGATGTGGGAAAAGGGAACTCCTGGTGAGAATGTAAATTAGACCAGCCATTATGAAAAACATTATGAAGATTTCTCAGAAAACTAAAAATAGAACTAGTATAGTGATAGGGTTTGGCTGTGAGCCCACCCAAATCTCATCTTGATTTGTAGCTCCCATAATTCCCACATGTTGTGGGAGGGATCCAGCGGGAGATAACCGAATCACGGTGACAGATATCCCCCGTACTGTTCGCATGGTAGTGAATAAGTCTCTCAAGATCTGATGATTTTATAAGAGGTTTCCCCTTTCCCTTGTCTCTCATTGTCTCTTGCTGCTACCATGTAAGAAATGGCTTTTGCCTTTCACCACGATTGTGAGGTCTCCCCAGCCACACGGAGCTAAGAGTCCATTAAACTTCTTTTCCTTTATAAATTATATAGTCTTGGGTATGTCTTTATCAGCAATGTGAAAATGGACTAATACACATAGGATACAGCAATCCCACTATTTATCCAAAGGAAAAAAAATCAGTATATCAGAGAGATATCTGCATCCCGTGTTTATTGCAGCACTATTCACGATGGCCAAGGTATGGAGTCAATCTAAATGTCCATCAACAGAAGAATGGATTAAAAAAAAAATGTGGTATATATACACAATGGAATATTACCCAGTCATAAGAAAAATGGAGTCCTGTCATTTGTTGCAGCAACACAGATGGAACTAGAGGCCATTATTTTATGTGAAATAAGGCAGGCATGGACAGACAAGTATCTCATGTTGTCACTCATATGTGGGAGCTAAAAAAATTGAAATCATAGACAGCAGAATTATTGCTATGAGTATTAGAGGATAGGAAAGATGGGAGGAGAGAAGGATAGGGAGAGGCCAGATAATGGGTACAAAACAGCTAGAGGGGAGGAATAAATCCTAGTGTTCTATAGTACTGGAGGGTGACTATAATCAACAACATTGTGTATGTTCAAAAAGCTAGAAGAGAGAATCTTACATGTTCCCAAGACAAAGAAATGTTTGAGGTGCTGGTTACCCTTATTACCATGATCATTATACATTGTATGCATGTATCAAAATATCACTCTCTACGCCATAAATGTGTACAATTAGGACATGTCAACTAAAATTAAAAGAGAAAAAAGAATAAAAAAGATTTTAAGCTAATCTAATGTAAAAAACTGTACAAGTGGTTCAATTTTAAAAACTTCAAGCTTAAAAATGCATAATTTTTTTTTAATTTTTAAAAAATGCATAATCATTTGAATTATTTTTGTTGCTTTTTAGAGCTCAGTCTCAATTCAGATATTAAACAAAGCTTAAACATAAAGAAATGAGATCTGCAACAAGTAAAACATTCTCCTTTTTTCTCATGAAAAATGTAATGCCTCAAAAAAACTAAGATCCTGAAAACTTGTGCCATCATTTGAGAGTATCTAGCCGACTGGATTTGGAATATGTGGTTTCATCTCTTTTTGTTTCTAGGGAGGCATGTGGAAAGGAAGGAGGCGATAGTAATATTTGTACAGATCAGACTAGGCAAGAAATTCAAATACAACTGCTCTGCGCTTTAACAGAGTCGAAGGTTAATTGTATACACTGAAGATATTCCTTTCATTCCTGTGCAAATTAGAATCTTCAATGGCACCAGAGAAAGCAAAAAAATGCTAATTATTTTCCCTTATCTCTTCCCTCCTTTTGTTTTCTTTTCCACCCATCCTTTTTCCTTCTCCCTCTCTCTCTTGATTATGAGCAGAGGAGAAACATAAATATCCAAGCACTCTAAGTCTTATTGATGGGTTGTATTGAAAGGGTTTTCACTTTCAAGTTCTTAAACACTCTATATCAAGTTTTATTTATCAAAATGTCAGTGTCTTGTGCAGAATGATAGTGTTGAAACAATTCTAGCAGCTTTGCAAGTGAAACGCATAATATGAGTTTCTGTACTCTAAACTGGAGTATTTACATAAGCTATTGATTCCTGGAATACAAATCCCTGAACTCATGGTTGAGAATTCATAAAATATAGCAGTGTTTGTCAAGTTCAAAGGAAATTATCATTTTCTAAGTATAGTTATTCAGACAGAACTTTCCAAAAATGGTCTTTCAACAAGAGCTGTTCTTTTCAGAGATTTAATTAGTTGAAAAAGCACCCTTTAAGATGGACATATTGTTCATTTCAGCTAACCTGTGCAATCACAAACTCACTACAGAAGAAATGATAAGAAACAAAATATTAACAATGAACATTGTGGTAGATACTGTGGAGGATGAGGTATTGTAGAAAATTGGAGGAGATCCTTCTGTCTCCACGGGAGGCTTTAGAGAGGCATCTATACAGACACCATCAGCAATACATACATCAACAGCATCAGTGTCTTTTACATCAGCTTTCTCCTTACAACTCAAGTTGGTATAACAGCTGCAATAAAATTTTTCAGAAAATTCCTCCAGGTCTTCAACTGTTGGTTTTCCATGTACTGTGAACTTTCCACCTTTCTCCAGTTGAATAACAAAATTGTCTGGGTTGAGGTGAAGATAGTCACTTGAATTCCAGTCCTTCCTTATACACACTCCTTGCTCCTGGCAAAGCACTTGGCTACACATTTTGGCTGCTAGTGTGACGTTGATTATGTAAGGATTCAGTGTAGTCTCCATGTAATTGTCTAGGAGCACGCAAGATTTCTGTAAAATTATAAGACAGAATATCAAAGGACAAGTTAGTTGATATGTGAATTAATTTAGTGTACTAAGCAATTTTTTACAGAAGAATGCAAAACCAGAGGTAGCAAGAAGTAGAAGATAATTTCTTTTTTACCTTAACCAACAAGATTATTCCAATTGCTTTTTGTAAGACTTACAAGTTTCACATGCCACTTCATTCCACTGAATTATTGACTAATTGAGGCTTAATATTCCTTACCCTTGCTCTTCCTCCATAATTCATAACATTATCCGGGGATAAAATGCTACAGCTGTTACAGTACGTTAGAGTATGGTCTCTAGGATCCATTTGCCCTGATTGGAGTCCCAGTTCCATTAGTGACTAGCTGTAGGAACTTGGGAATTTCTTAAGCTTTCTAAGTCTTAGTTTCCTATCTGGGTGACTTTGGGCAAGTTGATTAAGTTGATAATGCTTCAGCTTTATCATCTGGAAAATAAGGATAATTATGATGCTTACCTCACAAAGTTGTTATGAAAATAGATTTTAAAAGAACAATACATATAAATGCGCTGAACACAGGGGCACACCATATCTTCAGTTGACCCTCAATAAATTACAAATAAATGTAAGAAACACTACATTTGTCAATTTTTTTTCCTGAGACAAATTCTCATTCTGTCGCCCAGGCTGGAGTACAGTGGTGCAGTCTTGGCTCACTACACCTTTGATCTCCTGGATGCAAGCAATCCTCCTGTCTCAGCCCCCTGAGTAGCTGGAACTATAGGCATATGCCACCAAATCTGTCTGATTTTGGTTTTATTCCGTGGTAGAAGTGAGGTCTTGCTATGCTGCCCAGGCTGGTCTTGAACTCTTGGGCTCAAGCAATCTTCCCACCCCATCCTTCCATGGTGTTGGGATTACAGGCATGATCCACCATGCCTCGCCTGCCAGACAAGTTTAAATAGCATGGAAAAGGCTTATAATTTGGCTTATAAATTGCTGGCTCAAATACGTTAAACAGGTTCAATTGAGTATACTTTCTACTAAATGTTATATATAGTCAAGTTATGGGTGAATAATGACAACTCTTTTACAGATTTGGCAGACTATGAGTGATGACTAACTAAAATGATTCATCTTGAGACTGGCATGTTCTAAACCCTGGACACTATCCTCTGAGAAATATTGAAGTTGATCACTTTTTTTCATAATCAACAGTTCCATTGAATGAGGTAGTTGTGCTAGTCCTTTTTCAGGCCAAAGGAAGTGGTGGTGGTAGATATGCAGGCATGTGAAGGAATCTCGGCAGCTTCCATCTGAATATATTTCTTTTCATCTTCCTTGAGATGATGTCATCTATTGTTGGCAGAATAACTGATTGCCAAAACTGTCTGCATCCTAATTCCCTGGAACCTGTGACAATGTGAGCTTACATGGCAAAAGAGACTTTGCAGATGTGATTAAGGAATGGATCTTGAGAAGGGGAGATTATCCTGAATTATCAAGATGGACTCAGTGTAACTACACGACTCTTTGAAAGTGTAGAAAGTTTTCAAGCTGAGTTAGAAAGATGAAGTGAAGGAGGGTGAAATTCAAAGTGTAAGAGAGATTCAATGCGCCTTGGCTGACTTTCAAGATAGAAGAGGGCCCTGAGCTAAGGAATGTACTGGCCTCTAAAAGCTGGAAATAGCCATTTGCCAATAGCCAGCCAGATAATGGGGATCTCATTGCTATAAGCACAAGGAAGTGAATCTGCCAACAACCCAAATAAGCAAGTATCTTCTCCTAGAAAGGAATTCAGCCCTGCTGTCACCTTGATGTTAGTCCATTGAAACTCATATTGGACTTCTGATCTAAGAACTATAAGATAACAAATTTCTTCTATTTTTTTAACCCACTAAGTTTGTTGTAATTTTTATGAAAGCAATAGAAAACTAATACACCATCTATCTTCTTAACAATCCAATAGTTTCGAATGGTGTTTAGAATGAAATTCAACTTCTTCTCTTGACTTGTGCACAATGTGTCACGGTATAACCCTTTCCTCCTCTTGTACAACCTTCCCACATCCATTCTACCTTAGACATAGTAGCTATTTCACTAGCACGGCAGGTTCATTTCAAACTGCACTTACTGTTCCCACTGCTTGGAATGGTCTTTCCTCTAATTTTTACCACAATTGACTTCATCCTGTCATTCAGATGGCAGCTTCAAATTAGACAACGCCCTTCTCTGATACCTTCCTTGTTAAATTCTCCACATCTCTGTTTTAATTCTCTGTGTAGCACTTACCATATCAAAAATATTTCTTACTTGTGTACTTTTTAAGTACTCATAAGTTCCAAGAGTACATAGACTTTCTCAATATTCTTCAACACTATGCTCCCAATACGAGGGAAATGAGAATGTATACCAAGTTCAAATAACATTGCAGCTGCTTTCTCAACTCCATAGAGACAAGGGTTACACAAAGAGGAGTAAAAGGGTGAGAATGACTTGAGAATCATTAACCTGCATACTTTGTAGTCTATGGAAATACATTAAAAGTGGCTCTGTAACAGGTAAGACCTGGTTCTTATCATTTATGTGTGTGTGTGTGTGTGTGTGTATATCTCCATGGTGTAAATCCTCCTGCCATGGCCAATTTCAAGCTACCTCCCAAACATTACTGAATGCGGATCTGGGAATCAAGTATACCACCATTACACATTATGGTAGCATGCCATGAAGTAGCACATTATTACATAGTATTTCCACTTATAAAGGTATGAAAGATGTAAATAATCTCAAGAGCATGGACCATGGTAAAATGAGGTAAAATAATTGATATATTGAAATGTGTCACCTGTTTTTAACATAGTTTTTATTGTAAGTTTTTATCATTTAATTTTTAATAATGGCAGTGATTAACAACTGGCTCACAAAATTCCTGAATATTTAACAATTAGGTCTCAGTTGGGACCAGTAGGGCTGACTCTGTCACACCACCAGATCTAATAAAATGGAATGAAAAGAAATGGCTCATTTGCATTTGTTTTATGTCAATTCCAGTAACTGCAAGTAAACCTGCAATTATCGGTTTCTTAAGTTGTCAATGAATCAGAGAAAATATGACAAGTAATCCATGACTATTGATTGCAAATGACATAGAAAAAAGGGGAAGTAATGATACATCTATTATTTAAAATAATCAGAAGTTGAGAAAGGTAGCAGAAATATATACAACAGAATCTATAGGGGACAATTTTGGGACAATGCCACTAAGAAGAAAATAATCATATAAAAGTTGAAGGACTGTCTCTGGTATGGATAATACTGAAGATGATTTGAGAGACATAGTAGTAGAATTTGAATCTAAGCTTAAAGGGCCACTAAAAAACAAGTGTGACACTTAAATAGTATGTTATGTCATCCTATTCATTGAGGAATGCCTGATTCACTCCTCCTCAGAGTAAGAGTGGAGTTTTCAGTTTTCTAAAAAAAGAAAAGAAAATAGTATGGAGAATTTATAAATATGTATAAGTTTTTAAATAATAGGACATTTGAGAAGGGAGTTTATGGATTTGGGGAAACAACTAATAAAAATTAAGAATTTACTTAAGAAAATTATCATTTTACAATGATTTTCTGACACATAAAATACTTTACCAAGGGTCACATACCTTTTTCTGAACTTACATTTTCTGTTATTCCTTTATATTAGAGATTCAATTAGAGACAAAAGAGTTATACAAAATAGGCAAAAGAGTTATACAAAATAGGCAGATGGGCTCAGATTACCTTAAAAAATTCTCATAAATGTAACTGCTGTTAAGTATTTTTAAATAAAGACTATGTCTATTCTATCCAAACAATAAGAGATGAATACAATGCTTCTCAAAGGCTTTCTTAGACTACTAGAGTATAGACTATTTGCTAAAATCCTAAGATAGGACCCTTGGGCCATGAGCTTCATCTGGCATTCTTCATGGCACGTTCATCATTGGTATTTCCACATCCACCAGAGAAGAAAAAATTCAGCTTCAACTCAGCAATGCCCATAGGACAGCTTTCCTCTTAGGTCAAGAAGGTTGATGAGGTGGGGGAAAAAGATCTGATATACAGAATTAAACAAGAATGAAAATAAAGGAACAAGGACCTATCTTCTGATACAAAACACCATGCCAGAAAATTAAGATTGTAGTCTTGTTTTTGTTACTTAATCGTCATGTAGCCTAGAGAAAATCAATTATTCACTGAATTTCTATTTCCCCACTGGAAAACGGGTATACTATTTTCTGCCTTACAACCACCACACAAATGTATTTTGATTCAGCCAGTAATGCTTCAGCACCTATTACTGCCTGTTAAGCATAGTACTACTTATTTTCTTATTTAATACCAAAACAATCCCCAAAAACATTAAACATAGAAATATTTTCACCTATTTTCTACCAATTCAACTTACCATACTTCGCATTATACTGAGGCTTCCCCATATTACAATTCCAGAAGCACCCAGAGCAACAGTTTCGCCAAGCGTAGACACAAGTTCTTCCTGGAAAATGTGACAGAAAGAGTTAGCAGATAAAAACGAAATGAAAGTGCTATACATAGGACAGTAACACCAAAGCTAAGCATGCTGACCCAATAATAATAATTTTAATATTTCCCCCATTATTTCTATCTCTTACACAGTCATTGCCTTACTATAAAACAAATAAGATACTATTATTGTTTCAATCACTTCTATTGAAAAGACAGCAGGCCTAAGAAATAAAAAAAAAAGAAACTGAGTTCATACACTGTCTATACTACCTAATTCTCCCTGCCTACTAAGAGATAAAGACATTACATTAAAGATTAAGCATATTCTTATTTTGCATTCATAAAATAATGTAGAACTACTTGTGTACACATTCCTAATATTAAAAACTAGATTTCACTCCCTTCTAAAATAATATTAAATTTCAATAAACATATTTTGTGAATTTCATTTCATAGCCCTCATACCTTGATTTACTTACTCGAGAAAGGAATTTCAAAACTTGATCAGTAAAAACTAGGCGGGCATAGACAAAAACCGGAAGTGGATTTTTTGCATCAGGTATTTTGGAAACCCTGATGGCTTCCTGAACTCGATTGCGCACATAGAGTGTAGCAACTACAAGAGACTGCTGAGTGTTCAGATAAATGGATGGGTAAAGGGCAGTGCTTTCATTCCATAACCAGCTGAGATCATCATTTCTTTTTATTTCTACATCGAAGCAACTTCCATTGTAACCGGGTTTCTTATAGTGATGGTTGTAACAATCCGGAAAAAGATAATAACCCCACAAGTGATTTGGCCGAAGTGATCTTCCCAATTTTATAGTCTCTAGCATGAAATCCTTCCCTGCCTTTTCAAATTCTTGTTTAGCTTTGTCAGTGGCCTGTGGGAGACTAAGCTGTACATTTTGTTGCTGAACCAATTCAATAGACCTATTCTTGTAAACATCTTTAGGTTTCCAGTTTCTTGCCCAAGTGGGTCTCCATTCTTCCCAGTCAATAACAGCCATTCCCAAATTGTCTACTGGCATATAAAAAATAATGTCTTGCTTAGATTTGTCCAGATGGTCTTGCAAGGAAACCTTCTGGGGGATTCCTCCATGCACAGTTACTCCTGTGGTTAGGTCTATATATGGATAGTAGCCAAGTCTATCAACATAAAATATTGTAACACCTTGCCCGGTGACGTTTATTCGGGGGCTTCCTGTTAAAGTGAAGAGGCTCATATCTAGTGGCTCATTAAATTGTCCAAGACAAAATTCACTTGGGGCATTCCAGGCCCAGAGGAAAGGCACATTTGGAATAATAGGGGGTGCTCTGAAATTCAGAGTTAAGCAACACGGAATCAGAAGGAAGGTGAAAACTATCTGGGATACTCCACTTGATTTAACAAAGCTCCTGAAAAAGATGTGCTTGAATTTTAGCACTCCCATTGTAAAGAGTAATGACTATGAAAACATTTATTTCTTCCTACACACTTTGGTTTACCCAATATTTGATGCAAAGTGTGAGCACAGATGAAAGGGAATGGAATGAATTCACTTTGATGGATAAAGAGGTATAATGATTAAGTTACATTTAAATATTATTATTCTTGTTTCATGTTTCAGGATTGTTTTGCAAGTTGCGTCACCTATAACTGAAAAAAGAAATACAGAATACATTGTTATGATGCATTTCATAATAAAGAATGTAAGCTTCACCAAGTTCTCAACTTTAAGTGCAGGGGGTTTAATTTCATCTTAGAAGATGGAGGACCCAGTCCTGTGTTTGAATCTATGAAATTATTTCCTTTCATGTATGATACAAACTCTATACTAGTTAACATTTTTCTCATCTTTCCAAATCACTACTGGGCCTACAGAAAGGAGTCTGTAGCTGTTTTCCTTTTGCCTTTCTGGCTGTACAGAATGCTGTACCAAGCAATGCCTTAGCAAAAGCCCATTGGAGGAAAATAAATTCCAAGTTGATCCTCTCATTCTGTTTATTGCTTCCTGAAAGACCACTTTCTAGCTCTCTTCCATATACTGAAAACAACCTTTCATAGAATTCTGAAATTTCATCTTTCTCTTTCTTTCTTCTTTTTTCTCTTTTTTCACATTTTTTTTTTTATCAAAGGGGAGCAAACTCACTTCTGCCAGAAGTAGTAAATCAACAGTTTGGCTCAATGTATTGAATCAACCAAAAACTTCTACCAAACAAGTTGAAAGGCTCCTTGGTACACTCCTCAATCACATCTTACAATAATGTACTCTCATGTCTAAAGTTAATAAAACATTTTACTACTTTCCATTTTCTACTAAAAAGATTGGTTCTAGCCTAACTTAAGAAAAGCAATATATAGATTTTGGTCTTTTTATAGTGTTTGATAAGTAAGATTGTCTTGTCATTCTGATTGTGACAAAGCAAGGTATTATAGCACATACTTTGGCTGTATTAAACCACAAAAGTGGTACAATAAAATGGTCTGGGCTCAAGAAATTAAACTATGTATATACTCAGCATTTAGAATTTGCAAAAGTTACCTGCAAGAAGATATATTTAAATGTTCTGTGATTCTAGGAGGGAATTGGAAACTTTCTTTTGAATTAGATTAGTAGTATACTGCTTTATGAAAGTATAACAAGAATTATACTATTCTTCCCAGGAACATTGGTCCTTACCATAGCAAATTATCCAGTGATTTCCATCGCTGAAAAATATATGACTCTAAAGAGATCACCATATCAGAATAAAATAAAATTATAAAGACTACTATAGTCTCATGTTTTGAAGATAGTGAATTTTTCCCCTCATGTTTAGAACATACAAAGTACCTAAAGATTTTTGTAGCTTAAATACTCATAAATTTCTTTATTCAGGACCTAGATAATCTTCACCTAAAATAATATTAGGGGGATAAGCGAATTGCTTTTAAATACCAACTGTCAATACTAATGCTTGAATAGCAGGGACAGGGAAAAGGAAATGGAATAAAGGATTAACTTTCCCTGTATCTCAGGGAAGGAGTAAGTTAACCCTACTGAAATTAACATTTAAATCTATTTACAAGTGTTCATTTTATGTAAGGAAAAGATGGGGGACCGGGCTCAATGGCTCATGCCTGTAATCCCAGCACTTTGGGAGGCCAAGGTGGGCGGATCACCTGAGGTCAAGAGTTTCAGACCAGCCTGACCAACATGGTGAAACCTTATCTCCACTAAAAATACAAAAATTAGCCAAGCGTGGTGGTAGGCTCCTGTAATCCCAGCTAGTCAGGAGACTGAGGCAGGAGAACCACTTGAACCCAGGAGGTGGAGGTTGCAGTGAGCCGAGATAGCACCACTGCACTTCAGCCTTGGTGACAGAATGAGACTCTGTCTCAAAAAAAAAAAAAAGGAAAAAATAAATGAAAAACATGGGCAGAATGAGCCTGTTGAGAACGTCTCTACCCATAGAAGTCTTCAAAAAAGAATGGACACTTCTATGCTTAAAATTTTAATCAGTGAAATATCTTTTCCTCAGCATAAATCTAAGGCAAAGCCTTGGAACAGAGAATTGGCACAAAATTGAGGATAGACCTAGAAGTTAGCATCAAGAATAACATCTTTTTGTTTAAAGTATCTCTAGAGAGCTTTACCTGTTTACAGAGAAAACCTGACATTGGCCTAGACAAAGAATTTATGACTAAGACCCCAAAAGCAAATGCAACAAAAACAAAAATGGAACAAACTGGACTTTATTAAACTAAAAAGCATCTTCACAGCAAAGAGGATAATCAACAGACTAAACAGACAACCTACAGAATGGGACAAAATGTTTGCAAATTATGTCACTGACAAAGGATTAATACCCAGAATCTACGAGGAACTCAAACAAAATTGAAGAAGAAAACAAACAACCCAATTAAAAAGTGGACAAAGGACATTAACAGACATTTTTCAAAAGAAGACAGGCAAGAGGCCAATAAATGTATGAAAAATGCTCAACATCACTAACCACCAGAGAAATGCAAGTCAAAACTGCAATGAGATACCATCTTACACCAGTCAGAATGGCTATTATTAAAAAGTCAAAAAAAATGTTGTCATGGATGCAGAAAAAAGGACACACTTATACACTTCTGGTGCAAATGTAAATTAGTACAACCTCTATGGAAAACAGCGTGGAAATTTCTCAAAGGACTAAAAATAGAACTACCAATCATCCTAACAATGCTATTACTGGCTATCTGCTCAAAGGAAAAGAAACATTATATAAAAAAGACAACTTCATTCAAATCTTCATTGTAGCACTATTCACAAGAGCAAAGTCATGGAATCAACCTAAGTGTTCCTCACTGGTGGATTGGAAAAAGAAAATGAGGTGTATATACACTATGGAATACTATTCAGCCATAAAAAAAAAATAATCATGTTCTTTGAAGCAACATGGATAGAGCTGGAAGTCATTATCCTAAGTGAAATAACTCAGACACAGAACTGCATGTTCTCACTTTTAAGTGAGAGCTAAACAATGAGTACTCATGGACATAAAGATGAAAACAATAGACATTGGGGACTCTGAAAGGGAGCAGGCTGGGAGGGGGATGAGGATTGAAAAATTACCTGTTGGTTACATTGGTCACAATCTGGGTGATGGGTACACTAGAAGCCCAATCCTACCATTATGCAATATATTCATGTTACATACTTGAACATGTAACCCTTAATCTAAAATAAAATTAAATTTAAATATCTTTTAATGAAAAAGATACCATTAAAAAAAAAAAGTAAATACATAGATACCCTAATAGAGAACCTCATCTTCCTGGAAAATCTTAACTAATTTAACCCCAGGTAATAATGCCTGACTTTATCTTTCCACTAGTATTCCTAAGCTCTATATTCAATTTATACCTATTAAAGTTGCATTTTTAAGTGTCTTCCTTGCTCATTGTGTAGATAATTGCTTCTTAAAGCACTTCTGCTAAGTCTTTGCTATCCCCCAAACCCAAACAATAGCACTTACCCAGAAGTCTGCTTTCAAAGTCCAGCCACCCAATATCTCTTCAGTAGTATCAAGGCAAGAAGTTGGCTGGTCTCAATGTCTTCCTAGAGCACTGGCTAGTCATTAGCATCCCTTTGAAAAAAAATAAAAAAGATTATTTTCTCTCAAAATAGATTTAGAAACTTTAAATTCTGAATATATCTAAAATTCTACTTAAACTCTTATTCCTGTTGTAAAGGCATTTTATCACTGGAACACATGCTAGCTAAATCCTTTGAACTAGGAATCCCTTGTCTAAGGATAAGTTCAAAATGATTTTGTAATAAAAATTATGTAGCTACGTGTAGTTATTCACGCATGTAGTATTCACCACTATGTATTGTAGCATCTATGAAATGAGAAAAAATAAAAAGCAAGTTCAATACCTAATGATAAGAAATGATTTAATGTGGCATTTCAACCTGAAAGAATGTATGCAGATATCAGAACTAGTTACAAAGATAATGATTCAACATGTAAATATGTTTGCCTAAAATACGAAGTGAAATAAAGTACAAAACTACACACTCTTGAAGTATGCAAAAACATGTATGTGCATGCTTAAGGAATTAAAACTATTCAAAAATGTGAAAGAATATTTGTATTTTCTGAGTGTCCATTATATATTTCTGATCTTCCAATTTTCTTTCATCCAACTATCATACTCTTTCTCAAATAAAAAGTGGAAATGAATAAAATTTTAATGTTAGAAAATAGTTTGCCAGAACAAATTTGAATCTCAGCTTCCCTTCAGTGAGGAAAGACAAATAACCATAAACCTCTCCACACATTATCTACCAGGATGCTTGTACAGGGGATTCTTGTTCTTGTAAGAGGAAGAAGAGTTGATGATTGTGAAATTTTTTTTTGAAGAAATGCTACTGTGTATATTTAAGGTATACAACATGATGTTATGGGAAGATTAGGATTTTTGAGGTAAGGAGAGGAGAGTATCAGACAGCAAAAAAAAAAAAGAGGCAAATTTCTTGGCTTAGTCCTCTGCTTTTCTTTTCCACAACAAACGCTTTATTTCCATGACAAATGCTTTCTCTCTAGAGAATCATCACGGATGTAGAAGTCAGTCAAGACACTGCCTTCCGAATCTACCTTTTGGAGTTCCCATTTCCTGTGAGTTTATGTATACGTTATCTCAATGGAATTAAGAACTGAATTTAGACACAATCCTCTTACCATTAAAATTGTTATAGATTTTGAATATAGATTATGATCATAAATATTTTTAAAAATTTAGAAATACGGACAAATATTGAAAAAGGCAAGACTATAACTTTGGTGAAAGCAAACCATAACATTACCAAAGGGGGAGGAGCAAAGAGAGTCCCAAATCTAAGTCATTCACAAGGCACCTCCTCAATTTCCATGTCTCTACAGACCTCACTCAAAACTACCAAACTTTGTTACAATACTGAAAATGGCCTCCAGCCTCGGGAAGCCTGAGGATACTGAGATAACTTTAGTGTTCTAAATTACTTCTGTACATACTGTGGGAATCATTCTTTAACATGAAAAATGAAAAGCAAATTTCCACATGAGTGGTAGGTCCCAAGCTGATTGCCCTCGTATCCTCATCGCATTTGGTAGGATGTGTGGCATTTCCAAGGTACATAGTTCATAAGTCCAACCCAAAGGCTGACTAATACCTCCAGTTACAAGTAACAGTGACTCCAAGCTAAGAGTTTTAAAGAAACTTTTAAGAGACCAGCATAATATCCCCAAAAGCATATTTTTCTCCTAAAGTAAAAATATTTACAAGTATTTTCACGAATGAAAGGAGCTTTTGTGTAAGATTATTTTCTAGGAAACTTCTTAAACTATTGTATTTTATAAATAAATTGACCAGAAATAGATTATCATAAACTTGATTCAACAAGAGAAGTTAATCCCATTGTAGGTGGCATTTCATCAACTCTTTTTTCTTCCTCTTTATTATTGTTGTCATAATTATTCCTCTCCTTTGGTTCTTTCAGCCTCATCTTAACTTTCTCAGTGTCACCTAGATATGTTTTGAACAAGCCAGAGATTCTTGAGGTTAAAGAAACTGCTTAAAATGTGGCACATTACAGAACTTTGTATCTTTTTTTTACAAAACCATACCTGCTTTTTGCTACAAAGCTGTGCAGTAGAAAGAACAAAAGGCAACTTACTTTTAAAGTAAAAACTGAAAAGTTTTCCTTTAAGATGTGATTAGGTCAGAAGTCACTCCAATCTATTAGCTCTGCAGTATTTAACCTGCTGGGTGAGAAAAAACAGCCCTTTGCCTAGTCAATTAAAGGAAGATTTAATGTTTGAAATGTTACTGTGTAATGTGGTAGGGAAACCTGTCTGTGTGTGTGTGTTTGTGTGTGTGCGTGTGTGTGTGGTGTTTTAATCTCAGCAAATTCAATCTTTGAGACACAATCTCAGTCTATTGCCAAGGCTGGAGTGCAGTGGCACAATCTTAGCTCACTACAACCTCCAACTCCCAAGCTCAAGTGATCCTCCCACTTCAGCCTCCCAAGCAGTTGGGACTATAGGTGCACACCACCAAACCTGGCTAATTTTTAAAATTTTTTATAGAGATGGAGTTTTGTCATGACGTCCAGGCTGGTCTGGAACTCCTGGGCTCAAGTGATCTCACCACATCGGCCTCCCAAAGTGCTGGGATTACAGGCTTGAGCCATGCACCTGGACTTATTGCTCAGCTTTGGTTAAATTAATAATATATTTCTATAGTGTAATACAAATGAAGCATAGACTTCATGGAACTGTTTTCTTTTTTTTTTTTTTAGGCGGAGTCTGGCTCTTTTGCCCAGGCTGGAGTGCAGTGGCCGGATCTCAGCTCACTGCAAGCTCTGCCTCCTGGGTTCACGCCATTCTCCTGCCTCAGCCTCCCGAGTAACTGGGACTACAGGCGCCCGCCACCTCGCCCGGCTAGTTTTTTGTAGTTTTTAGTAGAGACGGGGTTTCACTGTGTTAGCCAGGATGGTCTCGATCTCCTGACCTCATGATCCACCCGTCTCGGCCTCCCAAAGTGCTGGGATTACAGGCTTGAGCCACCGCGTCCGGCCTCATGGAACTGTTTTCAAGAAAATACAGCATTGAGTATAAAAGAAAAAGTAATTTCTCCTTTAAAAATTAATAAAATAAATTAAAATTAACATTTTCAAAATGGTAAAGCAAGCAAGTTTGACATTTTTTTATGATAGAAAAATACTACTTTTAAGAGTTTTGAAAGGAAAATAAATCTCAGAACCGCAAAATCACTAAGCCAAGGGAAGTGTCAACATAGGCACCATGTCAGGCAAAACTGCTTCCCATTTTATTCCTAAATAAGCTAGCTACAAAATTTAAAAAGCTACACACCCACCTCACAATTTGCCCACAAGAAAATGCCTCCTGGACAAAGGACAGACAGAATTCAGAGTCATCCCACTGAGGCTCACCTGAGACATGCATATCTGATTGCTTCCTCTACCTTATTGTTTATATAAAAATGCAGATTCACTGAACCAAATTTTGTATTCAGTGGAAGGCTGATCAAGGACTCAAAAAAATGCAACCTTTTGTCTCTTATCTACTTACAATCTGGAAACCCCCCACTTCAAGTTGTCCTGCCCTGCTGGACCAAACCCATGTACATCTTACACGTATTGACTGATGTCTCATGTCACTTTAAAATGCATAAAAGCAAGCTGTACCCTAACCAACTTGGTGACATTTGTCAGGACTTCCTGAAGCTATGTCATAGGCATGTCCTTAACCTTTGCAAAATAGACTTTCTAAATGTAGTATGACATATCTCAGATACCTTTTGGTTTACAATTTGGTGATCAGTGGAAGGGACTCTACATGGAGGTGGCCCCTGACCTTTGATAAATTTCCAATTGGCTTGGTACCAGCTTGAACTTTTATGGCTCCAACCAACAGGACAATTTGCTGAGGCCTGGAAGCTTCCCTCCCTCCAGAGAATCCCCAATCACCCAAAATTTGGTTGAGATCTAAACTTTATTTTGCTGTACAACTCTTTTTCTGAGTTTTACTTTCTTCCAACAAGGAAGGCAAGTTTTTCTGCTTTCATGACAATGGAAGGCAGGTAACTCATCTCTGGAGTTTGAGCTCGCTTTCCAACAGGGAAGGCCAGTTTGATTTTTTTCCTCCTTCTAGGATGGTAGAGAGCTGTCTTCAGCCTGAGACCCACTCCTAGGTAAGTAGCTGAATTGGGATTTTGTCTTGAATAAAGTTATGATTAACAGTCAGCTGGTCTTAATTCTCCTTACCATTAGAGTGCTCAGTAATGATACTGTGGGGTTTTTTGTTGTTTGTTCTGGTCTTTCTCTCTGGTCTCAGAGTTGACCAACTCTACCTGACTTGGTCAAATCTGAATGAGAATTCCAAATTATGGGGAACAAGACCTGTCTGAATTGGCTAAAATTCCTCATAACTGCAAAAGAGAGGGGGGAAAAAAGTGCTTGGTTTCTGTGTTTGTTTCCTTTCTTAAAAAAACAACTGTTCTTTCATTTACTTTTCTTCACCCTATTCCTTCCTCTCCTTTCACTATCTTCAATACCAGGAAAAATCTAAAGAGGCTTCTAATGATTCAAACCCCTAAAAGAACTCAGAACATGGTCACCACTTGCCCCTTTTTGGGGTGTTCTGCTTTCTTCGTAGAGTTTCAAAAGTCATGGGCAGATTCTTCCTAGGTCTAAAGGTCTACTTTCCTGTATTTGCATTACCTGACCTCTTTGGCTTTGGAGGGTACCAAAGATTGCCTTGTACTGTGAAAGGATTTGACCTTGGCATGTGTAATGGTGGACAAAAGCTAACAAAGTTAAAGCTGGCTGAGGACAGTTACAGGAAGTGGTCTTCACTGATTTTTTTTTTTTTTCCTCCTAGGAAGTTGGTGTTTAGGATCCTAATTCTAATTCAGAGGTGCATTCTGAAGAATCTTTTTCATTACCTTTACTCCCAAAATTAATCTAAATTGGCTTGACTGTGCTTTTCCGTGAGAACCTGAACTGTCATTGTCATTGATAAATGAGAGACTGAGTTTTCTCAGCTCTGAAGAGAAAGGGCATTTTGCTCTCTCAAGTTCC